TGCTTGGCATGGCATCTATCAGTGCTTTTGGGGTGGGGGCCAGGGTGCCCTGGGGCTTTCTGCTTCAGGTGAATGTCCTGGGACTGCCTCTGCTCTGGGGTGAGGAGCCCCATGGGCACTCCTTGTCTCTGAGCAGCCTTGCATCACGAGTGGAGCATGGTCTGTGGGCTGTTGTGAAGGAAAGGGCTGTGGGATGGAGGTCACCCTGACCTGCCAGTCCTGATGATGGGCCACCTCCACAGGCTCAGCCGGGAGCTCCAAGAGAAGGAGAAGGTGATTGAGAGCCTGGAGGTSAAACTGCAGGAGCGCTCTGAGTCCCCGGGCAGCAGCTGCCCACCCTCGGAGTCATCCCACTCTGCCAGCAGCTCATCCTTCAYCTCTGAGGGGCTGGAAGCCTGCTCTGATGGGGATGCAGCCAGCGAGTACAGTCAGTGCCATGARGAGCCCACCCAACACTCAGGTACTGCACAATGACCAGGAGCCACAGCTGCAGTGCCTCTGGACACAGGGACTTGGCTTCTCAGGGTGTGCCAGGGTCCCCAGCACCCCAGGGCTCTCTGCCAGGCTGCACCAGAGCCACTGTAACATCTCTCTGCATCTCTCTCCTGTCTCTAGGCCTTCACTTTGACTCCTTGTCCAAACCTGTCAGTGCCCCCCTGCCTGCCCTCGCCCCTGGGCTGTCCCCATTCCTGCCTACTGGGGCCCCCCCTCCCGCAGCCCCGCCACTCCTGGGMTGCTGTGGGAATTCTGTCTGCTCCCTGGCTGAGGCACAGCAGGAACTGCAGGTGCTCCGGAGGCAACTGGGAGAAAGTGAGCACGCTGCCTCTTGGCTTGGGTTTGGTCCTGCCTGCCCTGCATGCTGTGCTGTGCCACATCACCCCCCCGCCCTCTCTGACCTGCATGTCCTGTCCTGGATCTTCTCCTTCTCGGGGCTCTGGCTTTAAGGTTGGGTCCCACTGCTCTGGCTGAGACATATGGGGACATGTGACTCTCATGTAGAGAGGACCTGGTGGGTTGGATGGACCCATCCAGAGACAGCACTAGCCCTTGGTGTGGACACTGGTATGTCCTAGGTACTCTAGGAGAAGGCKGATTTGTTAAGTTGTTGTGTAGGAGTGGGAGAGACTGAGACTGTCCACCTTGTGTCACGTAATCATTGAGTTCTGGGAGAGCCTCTGCTCTTCAGGGAGAATAGGTTTGATCGGGGCAGGTCAGTGGCGAGGGACTCTGGGCTGCACTGCCGGGCAGAGCAAGAAGAAGGCAAAAAGCAGATGGAGGGCACGTGTTGCCCTGTTCTTCCTCCCTGCTCACAGTCTTTCTCCTCCTCCCYACTTTGTCCTGTGCGTGCAGGTGTGACGCTGCCCATGGCACCAGCAAAGCCCACAGTCCCACTGGGCCCCTTTGGAGAGGGCAGCAAAGCCCCAGCATCGTTCTGCCGACACGGTGCACTGCAGGGCCTGGCTGAACTCCCCGGGGCCACCAACACACACACCCTCTGGGACGTGCMCCCACCCGGCCAGCTGCTCTATGGGGCCCTGCCTTTGGGGTACCCCTCCAGCCAGAAGCTCACAGGTATGGTCTGTGTTGGAGAGCACTGGGGCGYCCCACCTGCGTGGGGGAACTGGGAGGAGACCCAACACCAGAACAGCTGTGGGACAGGGCTCTGCTATGGGGACGGCAGGAGGCAGGCGGCACAGCCTTTCCTGCCCTGAGCTGTGTCCCTGGCTGTGGCAGGGGCAGACCTGCTGGAGGAACACTTGGTGGAGATCCGCAACCTGCGCCAGCGCCTGGAGGAGTCCATCTGCACCAACGACCGGCTCCGCGAGCAGCTGGAGCGCCGCCTGGCCTCCACCGGCAAGGGCAGCGGTACGGGGCTGGGTGGGGCTAGGGTGCCGGGGGCCAGGCCTTTGCAACACCCCACTGCTCGGACAGGGTGCTCACCCCGTGCACAATGGGGCATTAGGGAGAGACTCAGCACTGCTCCCSTCCACAGGATTGCCCAGCGATGTCTATGCCCAGACACCAGAGCTGGGGCTGCAGCTGAGCAGGGAGAACCAGGCTCTGCACGAGGAAAACCGGACCCTGCGGCTCCAACGCGACCACCTGTCCCAAGGTAGGGCTGGGCCACCAGCATCCTGGCTCTGAGTCCCAGAGGGCACTGGCTGAGTGGTGACATCTCCACGCTCGGTCCCCAGAGCTGGCACGGGTGCAGGAGGCRCTCCTGGCTGCCTGCTCCCGGGCACGCGAGGCTGAAGCAGAGCTGGGCCAGAGGCGGGGGAAGCAGCGGAGGCTGGTGGAGGAGCTCACCGAGTGCCAAGAGAGCRTCCGGCAGCTCCGAGACGAGCGGCGCTCTCTGCAGGAGGACAACAACAGGTAAGGTTTGGGCATTGTAGCCTTGGGGCTACAGGACTGGGTGGTGTGGCTGGCACTGGACCCACATGTCACCTCTGCAGGCTGCAGCACTCAGTGACGCTCCTGCAGCAGCACAGTGAGGAGCAGCGCCTGCTTCTGCAGACCCTGCGTGCGGAGCTGCACGTCTACGAGAGCCTCCCTGGCCCCTCTGCTGAGACACGAGCAGGTATGGGACCCACACACAGCCCCTGCCCAGTTCCTGCTCAGGGGGTGCCTGGCCCCTCTGAAGCCTTGGTGGCCCCTATTCCTATGGCAGCAGGTGGCACACAGTGGTACTATTCCTGCTGGCAGGCAGAGAGGGAGGGYAGGGCCCCAGCAGCCCCAGGCACAGAGCCACATTATCTACAGTGGCTCAGATGTTTCTTGTTCCAGGCTGCTTCCCATCTCCTCCAGTGCGGGATGTTGGCACTAACTCAGCAGCATCCCTCCTCTCCCCACTGCCCTCTGACACGTCGGTGGTCCGACGGATGGACGGTGGGTACCRGACCCTGCCTGCATGCAGGCTTCAGGGGCTGCTGAGACCTGACAAACTCGTGGCAGCACCCTTGCTGAGCAAGACTGGAGRGCTCAGGGCACTCAGGCGCCCAGGATGGGACAGGGTGGGCTGTGAGGGAAGCGGGCAGTGGTCCTCACCTAGCCCTGCTTGTTCCACAGAGCCACGTGGGGTGAACGTGCTGGTGAGGAAGAGCGAGGGACTGTCAGGGGCTCACGCTGTTGGCCGCCTGGACACGTACCGAGCCCTAGAGCAGCACATTGTGGAGGGGAAGGCCTTGGCCCGGGAGCTGATGTGTCTCACACGCCCAGCACTTGGGCTGCCCAACTGCCCGCTCCCAGGAAAGGAGGTAAAGCGTGGGCAGGACAGGGCTCGCAGCAGCTGGGGGCCAGACCCTCTGCACACCCTGTATAACATGGCTCCTGAAGCCAGAATCAGCCCCGAGGCCTGCRGGGCTGGCAGGAGGCAGGGAGCCTCCAGCCCAGGGAGTGCTGCGGGCACTGCCCTGCCGCGCTGGGCTGAGCACGGCGAGCCCCCGGGTGCAGAGGGATGGGGGTGCCCCCGCAGCCCCTGCTCCCGCACCCTTCTCTCACAGGCCCTGGGATGGACAGGCACAGGGCAGGGACACCTGTGGGGCAGCGCCAGCACCCTGCACGGCATCCTGGAGGACTGTGTTTCTCTCCTCGCTGCCTTCTGGAGCACTGTGCTGCCCGTGAGCCCTGCCCAGCACCAGGGCAAGGTGAGCRGGGGCTGGGGGCTGGCAGGGCGCTGGGGCCGGGTGCTCACTGCTCATCACACTCCTCTGGTCCCAGGAGCAGCTGCTCCAGGGCGAGATCGCAGCGCTGCGGGCCCAGCTCTCCGAGAGGGAGGATGTTCTGCAGAGCACGGCCAAGCGGCTGCGCAGCACGGCCCAGCTCAAGGACAGCATGGAGCAGTTCATCGTCAACCAGCGTAGGTGACCTGGGTGGCACGGCCAAGCTGGCCTGGTCCCCCTGTGCCTGACGTGGTTCCACAGCACAAGGACCTCACTGACCCATCTCTCTCCTGCAGTGACCAGGACTCACAGCGTGCTGCGGAAGGCCAGGACGAACCTAGAGGCGAGTTTATCTTGATGGCCAGTGTGGGATAGGGGTGGGTGTCCCTGTCCCGATGCCCTGGGGATGGACACAGATGGCACACACCCTGTGGTGGCTGTTGTGGGGTGCTGAAAGCCAGCTGGGTGAAGCGTGTGGGGGACATAGGGACACATTTTCCTTGTTTGTCCTCAGCCTGTATGTCCATGTCCCCAGGGCACAGTAGTGCTCTTCCTTATTGCCATGTGTGGTCTCTTGCCAGGTGAAGACCCAGCAGGCCCTGCCTGTCGCGTGAGCCCCGTGCAGGGCAAGGAGCGATGGCCCAGCATGGAACAGCCTGCTGGCTGCTGAGCCGTGCTGTGCCAGAGGGCTGGAACGGACCCTGTCCCTGCTGCTCTGAGGGCTGGGGTGGACAGGGGTCTGGGCTGTCCACTGCTACACAGTTAGTGGGTTTGGGCTGCTGTGGTGGTCGCATGCCCTCCACCAGTCTTTGCTTGGCATGGCAGCAGCAGCTGCTGGCTTGGGCTTTGTCTGTCCCATGCTTCAGCACTCGCTCCCTTCCACCCTCGGTGCTCAAGGTTGGGGAACACAGTCCTCCAYGCTGAGCACCGCTTGCCATGGGACCTGGTCCCCTCTGTAACCCTGCTGAGTCCCTGTCCCTGCTTGTGGATGTAYGTATATGTATATAGACAGAGATATTGGAACTGTGCTTTGGGGACTCCTGGGCATGTCAGGGCCCCAGCGCAGGAAGAAGATGTAAGAAATGCCATGTTCTGTTCAATGGCTGAAGAGTCCCAAATAAAGGTTTCCTTTGGGTTGTTGYGTTTCTGGCATGCCTCTCTCTGCAGCCATGCTCCCCCTCCCCAGACTGCCTGCAGCACAGGGCACCAACGGCACTGGCTGTCGCCAGGGGTGTGGCTGTGTGCCCCACCCCAACAACCAACGGCAGCTCTGTGCCGCACTGGCCACTCCCTTTCCTCTTCTCGATGTTCTGGAGCCCCCCTCCAACACCAGGCAAGCAGCACTGAGAACAATAAATACTGTAATAAATAGAGAACCCCCTGTCCCATGGCACTGCTGTGGCAGCAGGTGGTGCAGTCAGGGTCCTGGAGTGCCTGCCCAGCTCTGCTCTTCCCAGGCCCCTCCAGCGTGGGCACGTGCTGGTGCCCCTCAGGCTGTGACAAAATCAGCCCTGTCCCACAAGAAGCACCTGATATTGGGGACAGGGTGTTGCAGTCCTTGACAGTGCTCTCCCAGCAGCAGGTAAGAGTGGCTGTGTCCAGCTGTACCGTCTGTCTTGCTGGCTCAACGCTGAACCTGGCACAGGGCTGGAGCTGCAGAGTCCTCCTCAAAGCTGGGGGGCAGCCCCACAGCCAGGGCTGTGGGACAGAGGCCAGAAAGCAGGCTGGGGTGTCACAGAGTCCCTAGCAAACAAGGTGGCCTTGGAGATTCATCACCAGGAAAGCAGCGCAACCTTCTAAAGAACAGGATGTGTTCCTGGAGCCTGGACTGGGAGCAGTGCCAGGACCACCTTGAGGCCCTCACAGGCTGGAGAAGACAGGCAGGGTGAAGCCCTTTCCGTGTTGGGCGTGAGGAGAGGCTGTTCTGGTGAGCAGCAAAGTGGTCCCAGAGACTCACAGAAGCCAAGGGAAGCTGCAGGTGGGTGGAAACCAAGGGCTAAATCAAACCACACCAGTAGGATGGGACAGTGTCACAGGCCCCAGTGGCCCTGAGTTTGTCACAGGCCCCCGTGTCCCTGCCAGGTTCGAGGCTGAAGCCAGTGGCCAGTTGTCACACAGTCCTGTGGCCCAGTGTGTGCAGACAAAGCGGCATTTYGTGTCCTGTGTGGGGTGCGTGTGAGGCCTGGGCTCAGATGGGCTTGTAGAGCAGCGTGGTGACGTACTTCTTCTTGTAGCGGTGCGTGGCACTSAGCACCATCACGCCGTCCTGCGAGAGGCACAGCGTCAGTGTGTGGGGCTGGGGCACCCCCAGGGCTCAGGGAGCTGCCCCAGCCTGGCCCTGCTGTCCCCAGTCCCGGTTCACATGACAGGGCAGCCGGGCAGAGCAAGGGCAGGGGCCAGTACATGCTCAGCTCCACCACGGGGCAGGGAGGCAGCTGAAGGAAATGTCAGGAAGCCACCCCCTCCACCCCTGTGCAATGCCACAGTTCAACAGGCAGCCAGGTCCCATTTCCACCACCAGCTGTCCAGGTTCCAGCCTGCAGGTGCTGCAGGCTCCTGGAGCCACAGCAGTCCCATTCCCTCACCCAGCACCGCGCAGGACTTGTGCTTACCTTGATGGAGAGCGCATAGAGGTGATTGAGCATGACGTGGTTGGGCTCAGGCAGCAGTGCTGGGTCACACTAGGAGGAGAGGAGTGTCACAGGGGAACAGCAGAGCCCTGATCCCCCTGATCTGCCAGCACAGGGAGCTGCTGTCTCAGGCAGCTCGAGCTGCCACTGTCTCTGGCTGTACTGAACAGGAACAGAGCTCAACTAAGCACCAGCAGGCCAAATCAGGGTGATAAATGGGAAAAGTGATGCTTTTCCTAGGAAATACCAAGGGCCAGAACCCAGCCAAGGGGAGACCAGGTTCCCTGMAGAAAGGACTCCCTTTCCGACCCCAGTGTGGCTCTCTCTGTGGGCAGTAYGCTGGTACACACCGAGATGTTGGTGTCCTTGTTGAGGATGACCTGGAGGAGGTGAGGCGGGAGGATGGGTGGGGATTTGAAGCGCTCCTCGGGCCGGTATACGTACATCTCTTGGCCATAAGGTCCAGGTGGGGAGCTGGATAAATCTACAGAAAAAACAAAGGAGGAGACRTGAAATGACTGAAACAGGATGGGCAAGCACAGAGCAGCTCCTAAGACGCTGAGAAGGACTCAGCAAGGTCTTTCAAGCACAAACATACTCCACAAGCCAGGTATCTATTTTATAAGCAACTGCTCAGCCTTTTCAAAGAAAAAGCAGCCAGGCAAGCCCATGGCAATTCCAAGCAGGGCTGTAAGCTGGTACATGTACCCGCACTACACAAGCACCCCGAGGAACCCATCACAACCCTGCACACAGCTCTCAGCACAGCCAGGTCCCTCTCTCTGCAGGCAGCAGCTGCCTTGCTCCAGRGCTGTGCCCTAAGCAGCAGGGGCACAGGGAGCAGGCTGCTCTCRCTGCTGCCTGATGAGGAAAGCAAATAGGAACTCCAGACTGAACAGCTATTCCACACATGGGAGGGACCTTGGGAGCTTGTGGTTACCGAAAGATGAACTGATCACATCTCCCAGCTACATCTGATCTGAACATTTYGGAACAGCCAGCACCCAGAAGGGCTCCAGCTCCTTGAGCTGCTGCTGCTTGCTGGCTTCTCTCCAGCAAAGTGTCTCTTGCCCGGGCTGGGAAAGGACATGAAGCGGAGCTGTATCGGAGATGGGGCTGTAGCAGGGACAGACACACGACTGAGCTTCCTGCCAGCATTTCACACTGAGCCAGCACTGCTGGTGCCTGCATAGTAACCTAACCTGCTGCTGTAACACAAGCAGACAGGGAGGTTTGCAATGTGCTACCACTGCTACAAATTACCTTGGCAYGAAAACCAAGAGTAGCTGCTGAAAATAAACTGGATCCTAGCTAGTACCCCAGATCAGATGACTTACAGTTGATCAGACAGAAAGGGCTGATGTTCCTGGCATTCCCCAGTCCGAAATGGCTTCTTCAGCCAYGCACAGGCAGCGGCTCTGCTCTGGGATGGTGCTAGCACAGAACAAGTTACACCAACACAGCCCCTCCAGAGGGATGAGGCCTCAGCTGTGGGCTGCTGAGGACACGCTGCCCAACACTACTCATCCCCACACCTCTGCCCACAGCGGGGTCTGTGCACCCCAGAGCAGCGAGTCTCAGAGCAGAGGAGGTGGAAAACAGCACATGCAAAGCTGTAATGCCACAAAACTCACCCCGACCTGAGGTTTCTGAGCTCTCCAGGGAATCCACCTTCAATGCATCGAACACCTCAAAGTCAGACTTCTTGACRTGGATGAGGTTGTTTATCGTCCCCATCTGGCTGGTAACCACAGGCTGGAAAGAATGGGGGTGAGAATCTTCCTATGTTCACCTCCAACTGAAGCATATTCAATGCCTCCTAGATTCTCCCAGCCCAACCTGTCTTTACTGCAACATTACCTCAGAGCACAGGTGGTTGGTRTCCCTCTCTGCCCTTGTAGATCTCTACTGTTTATTCTGGGAGGATTTTTCTTTATCCTAGGCTCCCACATCACCTCCTATTTCCATCCTCCATCCTGCTACATGCCAATGGGTAGGTGTGTTCTCCTTGCCATGCTACTAATGCATGATTCAATTTGGAGGAGAACCTGTAGTATTGATCTCATGACACATCTTTCCACGTAGCCAATTCTCAGTGGGACTTAAGGACCTTCTGGCATTTCCTTGCCCTTTCCCAATGCTTCCCCATAAAGCATGACTAAGTCCAAAGCAACCAAACTCTGAAATGACTCAGGGGGTGGATGTGTGCCTTTTGTTTCAGCAGATAGTCTCCACTCTTCCTGTTTCCCCTCTGCAGCAGTTACACCCTGTCTGGTTCCCTGACGAACACAAGATCTGCAGGGATAAAGCTTTGAGCATTACCTCAGACGGATCATGGACCCACTGGCCATCCACAAAAAATTTGTACTGGTGCTCTCCTTCTGGGAGGTCCAGGATAGCAACAAAATCGTTGTGGCTGTGCAAAGAGAACAGATGTACAATAGCATCACCCTGCTGATCCTCTGAATGCTGCTCTTACACAGGGTCCCAGGAACCAGCACTGCCCCAACACCTTCATGCAGGGCAAGGCTTGCTCATCATCAGTGACCCCAGCATGGCCACAACAGGCACATGCATTCCAAGCACCAGCATGATGCAAACCCCAACAGCAGCCCAGCTACAAGTGCAATCCARCCCTCCATGCCCAGAGAAAGTGGACATGACAGACACCCTGTGTAAGACAGGCTGGAAAGAATGTATGGGCTCCTGCTCTGGTACAACAGGACAAGAGCAAATGGGACAGCTTTGTTTGTCAAGCCTGCAATTGAGATAAACTCATTCCAGATGAATTGCTAGGATTATGTCCAGAGTCCTACACAAGGCACCAAGTAAATCATACATGTTGCAGAACAGTGAGGACAYCATAGGGCAGGACATGTGAGGCACAAACAATTAACCCCACTGGCAGCAGTTCAACTAGGTAGGGGGTAAGGCTGCAGCCAARGGAAGAGCTGACAGCTTCCACAGGACTGCTGCATACCTGGGCAGGGCTCTGCTGCCAGGATTCACTGCTGCATGACATCCAGCTGGGCAAGCAAAGTAGCCTATCATGTCCTGTCCCTGTTTCCCAACTTTCCACTGTCCTGCAGCATTACTCAAGGAAGRAGTTGACTGTGTATTTGTGCTCATACCCACAGCTTGGGGGAGTGGAGAACAACCAAGTGAGCAAAGAGAACAGACCAGCATAGAGAAGGGAAAAGTGGACCCTGCACGGGAGCAGAGGAGACAGGCTACCTCTTGATGAGCGGGATCTTGGTGCTCCAGTTGTTGAAGGATCCAGAGATGAAGACCTCTTTGCCTCCATCGGCCCAGCGTATGACAGTTGGACGAGCCTGCTGGGACGGTTTCACTGACTCCTCCAGATCTGGCTGCCACGACACAAACTCCTTGTCCCCAGAAATCTGTGCAAAGAGAACCAGAGCCTGACTGAAACACAGAGACAACTGTGAACACATCCACTTMCCCCCAGCCTCTATCAGCCCACCTGCACATCCCAGACAGGAGCGACACAGAGCTCCTCCAGTCTCCCAGCTCCCCAGAGACCCCTCGCATGGCTGGGAACACTACCCCACACAGCCAGTGAGCCAAAGCTCCGGGGCCAGGCAGGGAAGGGAGCAGCCAGCCCCTACCTTGGAGTCATGGGAGCTGAAAACGCTGGGATCATCAGTGCTGCCCACCATGATCTTGTGTGGGTGCTCCTTGGCGGGGTGGGAGGCACTGGAGCCATCTGAGCGGTGGGATTTAGAGCCATGGCGCTCCCCAGACACCCGTTCACTGGTGGTGTTCCCCATGACAACTCAGCAGCCCCTGGCAGGGAGAGAGAACAACACTCTGCTTCTGCCCATGGGCTCTGGCAGCAAGGAAAGGAGAAAAGGAGCAGTTTCTCAATGTTCTTCGTCAGCAGAGATGAACAGCAATCCTAAAAAAGGCCCCAAGTTCATTCCCACTACCAAGTTTGGGAGCTGAATAGGAATTCAACAAACAAAACAGCTTGACCTAATTATAGCCATATCCTTAAGAACCATCACTCTAGTTAAGCTGATAATTGTTAGACTCCAAAACCAACACCAGTTCACCCATGTCCCACATCAGCCCTTGGCAGCCAGCAGAGTAGAGCTGATGGGAAAAATAAAGCCAATCTTTATTGTCAAATCAACTGCCTGGCGTTAACAGAGCCTCTTTCACAGTCCTACAGGCAGGCTGTACAGACAAACCCTCTACATCCAGCAAGAAAACAGCCAGGGAGTGAAAGTAGCAGCTGTTTCACAGTTCCCAACAAGTCTCCAAGAGCTCGCAGGCAGAAGAGCAGAGCCTTGTGCCTGGCAAAGGCAACAGGGAGCATTTAAAGTGTCCGAGTGGAATCGCCCAAGCTGGAGCTTGTCCAAGGAGTGGGGCTAATGCTGTGGTGTCTGCAAAAAGCTCAGCTCTCAGCAGCATTCACTTATGATTCACCAGGCAAGTCACCGTGTCAGCTGCAGCACGACACAAGGAGGAGGTCCATTTGTTGTGTCCTAGCCAGAGTCTGCCTGGCTGTCTGGAGGCACACGGTGAGGGAAGGGCAGCCCCAGCCACCATCCCCAATCTCACCCAGCTCAGAGAAAGCAAAACAGGAGAACTAACCAAGCCATGAACAACTACACACCTCTCAGGAAAACAACAAAGCCACCGCAAGCTACACAGGATTTTCAAAGCCTTACTCACTTTCCAGGGGCCCAGATAGTTTGGGGTTCTTGCCCACTTCCAGGCTTATTTTGCAGCTTTCAGCTTACCGTGGGCTCTGCAGGGCAAGCAAGGGGACAGCCAGCCTTGCTTCATGTGCTCACTTGTGACATTTGGAGGTTAGTTTAAAAGATCAAGTTATACAAAAGGTGCCAAGCAAGGCTGCCGGCCAAAGCCAGGCTTTAGAATATTATGGAGCAATTACTACGGTATTTCTCTAATCCTGAGGGCTAAAAGGCAGCTCAAGTGGGCAGTTAACCCATACCCCCACCCTTCTCAGTGCAGATCAAGTGTACCTGAAGATCCAGGTCAGATGAGCTGTACCTCTTGCTCTCACATCTTCCCCCTCTGCTCTGAGGAGGTTCAGACAGCTCCTCACAAAAACTGCCCCTGTGCCACCAGAGCTGCTGTTGACAAGTTTGTTCCTCAGTATCTCCACTAAGTCTCCTTTACTTCTGTCTACAGGGAGGAAGGTAGAAAGGGCTGAACGTCCCTTGTAGCAGGACAGACCTGAGAGATACGTGCAGGCATTAACASATGTGAAGCTTCCCCTTCTCTTCTCTAAAACGAATTCAGTCCCTCTGTCCCTTACGGGTCATGCTCTCCAAACACTTCCTGAGGTATATCCCAAGCGGTGGCTCCTTTCTGGCGTGTGCCACCTGAATCCCCTGCATCACACACACAGGCAACCTGGCAGTGCCAGGACAGGTCTTTGTGCACAGCCTGCAGTACCTGGCTTTATTGAATTGCCTTCTAGAGCTCAAACCCTCCTGGATACAGACCAGCCCTTGCAGCACAGGGGCTGGTGTGACACAGGTACGTGCAAGTCACGGATAGAAATACTGCCCATACCAGCGCCCCAACAAAACCCCTACGGCATCTCAGCACATCCCCTCCCGGTCTGGCAGCGAGCCCCTGCCACCCGCAGCCCGCAGCAAGGTGTGTGCCTGCCTGCCCCATCACCAGGGCCCTTCGGTTCCAGCCAGCCGCACCTTCCCACTTGGGAGTGTGCATTATACACGTTATAATGTGTATAATGCACACAAGTGCATTATACCCGTTCCCCCCGGGATGTGCCACGCTTGCTGCCTCTCCCACCCGGCCACTGACCGCGCTGGGAAGCCCTGGCAGGAAGCCCGAGGGGGTTTATGCAGGGATGCGGTGTCTGTCCAGCAGCACTGGGAAGCACTGGCAGGCATTCCCAGGGGGGTTTGGAGGGAGGGATGAGGTCCAGCATCCCGCCGGACTCACACCGCCTGGGGCTGGCGTGGCCCAGGGCAGCCCGATCCGCCCGGGCTCTCCCTCCTTCGGAGAAGGGAACCAGAGCTCAGCCCTGAGGTTGTGGTAAGGTTAAGGGGATGCGCTGGGATACCGGGGGCGGAAAATCTGCCTCCGAGCAGGCAGGGATGGGGCTCGGGCTCTGCTCGGCGGGGGCGGTGGCGCTGGCGGGGCTGTCACGGCGGGTTCGGCCCACGGCCACCCGCGGGTCTGCCGTGGCCCGGGCAAGGAGCGGGACACAGCGGCAGGGGCCGGACCCTCTCGAGGGGCTGCCAGGCGGGATCTGCACCGCTGCGGGTCCGGGACACCGCTACACCGCGGGTACGCGCAGCCACGCCTCACCCACCGCCTCCCGCAGCGGCGTCCGGGGAGCCGGCACTCTCACACCCACCCACGCACCCACCCGTGCCACCCGCCCTGCCGCCCGCGGGCCCGGGCCCGGCCCGACCCCACCTGCCGCCGCCGCCGCCGCCCCGCTCTCCGCCTCCGTCCAAGATGGCG